AAGAGGACACTACAATGGATCATATACAACGTTATAGGTTACCTAAATCCAAGATTGCGTCTAGTGATGATAGATTTACGTTCGACATCGTACATGTGCTACATTTTGGAAACGAGCGTAACGAGGAACTTTGCTGCAGATTTATCTTTACAAATCTTCAAAAATCACTAGATCTCTAGGTAAGGTGCGATTAGAAATTCTAGTTGCCAATTTGGCGACTAATTTTCAGGATTTGGTCTCCAAAGTGAAAAATTTAGTCGCATTTGCACCTGTATTTTGTGCAATTTTACGCCCTGTGGAGATTCAAGTGTCATGCTTGATTGATGTCAAAATGTAATATCTCTTTGTCCAGTGGAAAACTTAAGGTAAAGATTGAACACTTTTTTTAATTTTGAAATCAGGAAGAATTTGATGATGATGATGACTGGAACCCAAACAAAGCAGCAGGAGTGTGTTTGATGCTGCTGGCACAGTGCTGTGAAGACAATATAATAAATCATGTTTCTGCATTTATTGAGACCAATATCATAAAAGAAGACTGGAAACTAAGAGATGCAGCAGTCATGGCATTTGGTGAGTTCCAGTGTCTATGTCTTGCAAAAACATGAAAGGACAGTGGAGAGAAAAGCAATGAACAACCTTCTGATAGACTGCCACATTCTCCTTCTAAATTGTCTTGTGTTTCATTGGGGAATTTAATAATGCTTTAATAGCCACTCAGGGCACTTCTTGCACTTCCTCATCATGGAAGTCATCAGATTGATTTTTTTTTTTTTCGGTTAAATATTTATTTCAATGATGATGCAACAGAATGAAGGTATTTTCAACCAACGAAGCTTTGATTTGTACGTCATGATTTCACCATGTGATTGTAGCAAAAAATGTGAATAAGATTTGTAATTAGCTAGAAGCAAAGTGGATTTCAAATTTTAGCCTGAAGACTCCTGAAACCAAAAATGTCTCAATGCTGTTTCTTTGTTTCAGGTTCAATTCTTGAAGGACCTGATCCACAGGCTCTACAGCCATATGCAGACAAGGTAAGATGGACATACTGTGAGTAAATGCTTCTTGCTCCCAGAGTTCAAGAACTGTCAACTGATTTATTCTTGCTGATTACTTTAAACCTGTATAATGGACTAAGTGGGAAAAGATTAGCTGCTCACAGTCTTGAATCTACAACACAGTGTAGAAAGTTTGGGAAGGACACTTTTTCCAAGGGAACGACTTAGTGGCCTTTTTTTTTGATAGGTTTAGATGACATTGGAAGGGCAGGGGGGAACCAGCCATCCAAAGGTAGCCAGTCAGGTGGCTTAGATTGTAACAGACCATTAATTAAGATCAAGCAAGTTTGAAGGAAAAACTGCGCCAAAAGAGAAAAACAAGCTGCAAGAAACAAACCAAGCTGAAAAGATTGATCAGTATATTTATTACTCTGTCAATCAACTGATTTGCAAGTCATCAAAAATGAGTCCAAAGTAAACATTCTCAGCCAAAAATTATTAACACAATAAACTTGGAATTTGTTGCCACATACTCTGAGGAAACCAAAATATGGCACCAGCATTTAATAATCCCAATTTAAAGGAATTGTGGCTGCAAAGCATTCAAGTAACCCCATCCTTGTGCTTAGAATTATCCTGAACTTCTCAATCTGGTATTAACCAGACCACTAAATGTTTTGTGGGGCTTATAGTGGGTAAATGGAATTAGTGTGGAGCAAATCAACAAAACAATAACCCCCCCCCCCTCCCACATCACTAACATTTGTTAGGATTGTCAATTTTTTTTCATTTCCAGTGTATGTTATATAGGTTTTGGTTTGATCATGTGCCACTGATCTTTATCATAGGCATTACCAACACTATTGCATTTGATGAGAGACCAGTCTGTTGTAGTACGTGATTCTGTGGCATGGACACTTGGCCGGATTTGTGAAATTTTGCCACAAGTTGTCATTGGGGGGAAGTTTCTCGAACCTTTGGTTGAAAGTCTTCTTGAGTCTTTAAAGGCAGAGCCCAGAGTTGCTGCTAATGTTTGCTGGGTGAGTTGCTTACACCTTCTTGTGAGCAAGAATTGTTAACTTGTCAGTAGTTCATGATACCAGTTACCTGTCTTCTTTGTACCTTATGGTACAATGGGCCTTGTCTGGAAAATGATTAGCTAAACTCTTTCACTTGTCAATTTTTGCATCATGTCAAAATTTACTATGTTCTACCTTTTCTATTCTTATGGAAGGCCACACCATATTTAAAAAAAGAGTGTACCAAAGTAACAATTTGTTAGAGATGTTTTTTCTTAACTTGGTTTTGTGCTGGTTGAAAGAGCTCACTAGATGGTGAATCAAACCAACAAAAATTTGTTTTTCTTTGTTGAACACAGAAATACCCAACAAATTGTAGGAGATGTTAATTTCCCACACACTAGATTACTGTGTGATGGATGCCCTCCCCTGGGGTGGGATGGGTGGGAAGGTGAGATCGATAGACTGAAGCGGCTGCCC